TTTAGTAAAAATTAGAAATAACTATATTTTTTAATTATAATAAAAACTAAAATATTATAATAATAAATTATGCAATTATCAATTGAAGAATGAATAAAAAAAAAAAGAAATGTGTTTATTAGCTGAATCTTAAACAAATTATGAGAAAAAATATCACAAAAATATATCGTCTTAATAAACTTAATTGAAAAAGATAAAAACCATATATTGTTAAAGTAAGAATTAGAGTATTTTGATTTTATTGAAACAATATAGTTTTTGGGTGTTTTTCTCTTAATTTTTTGGATGTCATATTGATAAACATTAATATTATAAAAAATACTAAAATATTTCTTTTAGAATATGAACTCTAACTTAAATTGATTTAACAAAAAAACATTATAAATTCAATTATAAAAGGTAAAAATATATCTTGATGCCAATAGAAAAAAAAATTAAATTTTTACATAAAATATTAAGAAAGAAAATAAAATAACACTAAAGAAAACTATAAATTCAAATTTGTTTAAATAAATAATCAAAGTTTTTTTTAGGCTTAATAGAAGAAAGACTATTTAAGAACTCTAATTCTTAATTAATTAATTGACATAAATTCATTTTAGTTGAATTATATCCTTATTTTGAAAAACTTTTTATTTAAATCCTAAATATTTTTTCTATATTAAAATGGTCCTTAAAATTTATATCATAAAAACAAAACTTTTAACAAATAAAAGTTAAAGTACCATATTAAATGTTTTTTAAAAGCTTAGGGGGAGCGGCTGCCCCCGCTTGTCCTTCACTGGTTCCATCCCTGGAGTCTGTCAATCGTAAGATACGATCTTGAATTGAAAGGTGAATACGTAGGCCCATTTTAAAAACTTTATGAAAATGAATTGAATGGCATGCACATGTAATGTAAAGCCCTGTTTTTTGTTTGAAAATTTATTAATTTGGTTTGGGGTTGGCCAATTTCCACCAAAACCAAACAATCCTTATCAATCTTTAGTGGTGGCTGGTAGAGAATATTGTACATATTAATTTTTACCAAAGATAATCACAAGTAGTTTTTTCTATATCTGCTCATTTATTGTTTGCCTTTCTCTTTTTATTTTTTCATAAAGTAATGTTCTTAAGCTAAGTACGTATTACAGGATTATAATTAAGAGTGTGTTTATAGGGTTATAGTTTGGGTAAATGGTTTAAGTTTTGAGAGTATTACTTTAAAAATTTTTTAATTTTTTTAATGCATTAAATCATGTTAATTGAGAGTGTGTTTTTAAGACCTTTGCAAAAAAAAAGTTAATCTCAACAAACATTTAGAATCTAACCATTAATAACCGTGTAAAAAAGGTGAATTGAGTTACTTAGATTTGGATAACCGAAGTTTTTTGGGGGAAAAAAACAGTTTGAATGAATATTCTTGGAAGTATTTTCTGCCATATAAGGACATCCGTGTTGATTCTTATTTAAGATAAGAAATCTTATATTTAACATCTTGCAACGAATAAAAACATACTAAATCTTTTTTTTTTTTTTTTGAGGTGAAAAGATTATTATAAAACTTCATTACAAAATCAACAATTTAAATAATTTAATAGTATTTTTCTTCTAATAAAAATAAAAGATTTTGAATTCAAATTACATAACATGCACATAAAAAAAATTAATGGATAAATAGAATTATCTTCTATTATACAGTTCAAAATAAAAAAAAAATCCATTATAAAATAAAACGTTGTGAGTAAATCATTCTTCCTATATTCTAAATATTGTTATATATATTACCCCCATTAAAATTAAGGAGTATTGTTT